TTGTAGCAAGATGAGTTAGCTTTCCAACTCATTTTGAATCGCCTCAATCGGATATCAGAATACAAAGTTATAATAAAAACACTGAAAAAAGGTGCAGCTGCCTGTTTAAAACAAGAAATTCCGTTACATAATCCGTTAAAACAGCAAATTCCGTTAGTTTTTCCGTTAAACCAACAAATTCCGTAAAATTGGCACTTTATATATAAACAAGGAAATATTACTAAAAAAATAAAAAAAAATAGAGAACATTTGGTGCAAAATGTGAGAGTACATAGAAAGAGAAAAAAAAGCTTTCAATCAAGATACATTTTTGAGTATTAATTTTTTTTTTTTTTTATCAACAAGGAGATCTCTTTTTATAAGAAGTTATGAAGAATGTCTTTTCTATTTTTCTCTTAATCCTTTTTTTGAAATATTTCATAATTTTAAAAATATCTCATGAACAAAATAAAAACATAGCACTAACCTTGTTGTAAAAATTAAATTGTATCATCGTGATAAACATATTATTATTCATGGTCAGATTCAAAGTAATTTAGGAGTTATGAAGGTTCAAAGTGACGCATTGGAACTGGGACGTTGAAGGGTTTCTAGTTTTTTAATTTTATGCACCCATTCATGTATTTAGATACATTATGTTAGCCTATAAATAACTTGTATGAAGAGAGAAAGGGCAGACTTGAATATTTACTCATTTTCATTACTAATTGAATTGGAGAATAGAAGTTATCTATTTCTCTTTGGTTCCCAACTTTGTGAAGTCGAATTTGTCATATGTACAAAATTTTCCTTTTCCAATTACTTTCCTTGCCTACAATAAGTGGATACATATGTAAAACTTATAAGACATCTAGCTTCGCACTAGAGTATAATATATTTGTTTACAAGCAGTTAATAAAAATCAAACCATCAATCTAGGTTAGTGATAGCAACCCATAACACCGCCTAGGCATTGATTTTTATTATTATTTTTTTTCAATTTTTTGGTATTAAATAAAAAAGGGTTTTCGATGTTGAATTAAAATTATGGTCTCTTTTCAATTTTACGTTTATGGTATTGAATTAATTCATATGATATTTCATATTAATGTACGTGTTGTTAGAAATGGATCTTTTGACATGAATATCAAGATTTATATAATGGATTACATAATAACACATGACATTTAGTCATTTGCCAGTTTAAAATACAATCAATTTTCCATCCGATATTTTCCCTCCACACATTAGGTACATTTTTTATGTACAAGTATCAAAATCCGTTAGAAATTATGACACTATTAGTTCCATCAAGATTAGTGAGATGTAAGAATGATATATAGCGAGAAGAATAAAAATCACAAAGAAGTACGAGTATGAAATACAAGAATTCTAGGGATGGCAAAAAATTTCACAAGACCAAGGGACCTACCCCAAATGTACACGGATTTTCCAGTTAAACGGGTCCGCGAGGTGAGGACGAGTATCATGGTTCCCTCCCCAATTCATGACCGTTTATGTCTAAAATTAAAAATAAAAAAGACACATTTCTATTATAAAATTTGGAATTAATAAATTAATTTTCCAAAAATATAATTCCAAACAAAGGCTTATTATCATATTTTCAATCTAGTAATCATCTATGTTCAAAAATAAAAAACTAGAAACATTACAGATAAAGTAAAAATGAAACAAGATTACCAATGGAGTGATGAAATCCCCGTCCCACTTCGCCTGAGGCAGGGATGGAGGGTGAAATTCCCCAATGGACGGGGGACAATATTTCCATCTCTACTCATTCTCCCTTTGTTGCCATCGCTATATTATTCTGCCTTCTCGTTCTTATCATTTATTTTTCCATATTTTTATTTGGATGGGAGCATTGAATTTTCGTTAAAAAAATTATGTCAAATTTAATGTAATCTTTGAAATGATTTTATTTACTTTCAAACGTAATTGAGAATAGCATATTATTCTGAATGTGAAGCACAAAATTTTCATTAAGACATCGTCCCTAACATCAAGGGAAATGAATGGAGCACACAATCAATCCATCTTCTACGAGTCAAGAAGTATTAGAGTAAAAAGCAATATCACTTACTACTATATTGCCAATTCGAGACATGAAGCACTAAAAACGTATCTGATAAGTACTACAATAGCATGTAAACTTAAAGCTTTAGAGAGGATACATATGTACGCCTTATAAGACATCTAGCTTCGTACTGGAGTATAATATATTTGTTTACAAGTAGTTAATAAAAAT